ATAATTTGAGGAACATCTTTAATTATCAGAAAAGTCATCTTTAGCACTTACCATTTTCTAAATATTAACACTATTTGAAAAAAATAATTAACACTATTTGAAAAAAATAATTATAAGTTCCTCCAAGACATAATACACATTCTTGTAGAATGGTATTCTATTTATTATAACTTCAGTGTCCTCTCTATTTCCTTTGCAATCAGCCTAAACACTGCCCATTTTTTTGGAGGTGATTTGAGAGTATGCCATTTTCTCTAAATTTAATACCCTAAATTCGTTCCTGCTGAACTTCATTCATGTTGTTTGTTTTATGCTGCTTCTTAAAGTAAAATGGTAATTTTGACTTCTGACCCTTCTAATTCTTCTACTTCTCTTCACTTTTAGCTTGGATTCAACCACCAATTTATTATATGTTAAATTAGAGGGGACAAGACTGATAATGGCAACACCAATTCAGTCTGTGATGACTTTGGGTTGTATAATTGTTTCAGCCTGTTAGGGGACCTGCTTACCTTGTAGACATCATGGTGATCAACAATGTGATCAAAACTTTTATAAATATCATTAAGCATGTCCACCACTTCCATGGGGGTGCTGTATTTGCAGATAGTAGTGAAACCTACGATGTCACTGAAGTAGATTGTCACTTCCTCATAGAGTTCTGGCTCCACAAAGCCTTTCTCCTTCAGAGACTTCACCACTAGCCTATATATGAAGAAGGAAAAAAAAAATGCTTTCAACTTCAGTAAATTTTTCTTATCTTACGTAAGTCTTTTGGATAGTAGTGTTTGTTTACGAGGAATTCTAGAATTTGGGATTTCCAGTTAATTGAGTGGCTGGGAAGCAAAGATAGGTTGCATATACTATATAGAATATATTACACACATACACATATAATACATGTTGTGAACACAGATGAACATAAGCAAGTTCAGCATTAACTTGGTATGTGATTATTAACCATAATAGTCATACACAGCTAACCTTAATACCTGCATAACCTTAATTCATATACATATTACTTACCCACTTTCTACCTCTCTATTGATAATCAGCTTCTTGAAGATGTAGCTCTATATACAGGAGCTGAGAAGGAGAGTGTGTTACTAATACAAGAGTTTGAATCACCATAGCTATCAGACCTGACTTTCTCATAAAAGTTTATAGTTTTACTTCCCTGGCATATTTAACATGATGTTGTTTAATGTCACTATTAAGGAATAATGCATTTAAAAACCAATTTTTGATATATTCTTAACCAGAATTTATTTGGTATATTTTGAAGCAGATTTGGGTCCTTTAAAAAGCAAAGTCAATTATCATGTGAACAAGTTAAAATTATGCTAAAACTGTAGGCGTCAAATAGAAGTAACTTAGAACATCTTTATAGAAGAGATATAAAGAGCAGCATATCAGGCTGAAGATTAGGAGAGAAGAACCACAAGAAGCAACTCCATACTTCCTTTGTGTGCCAAGTTGCCTTTTCATTGCGAAAAGGACAGGGGGAAAGGGGGTGGGCTGACGTGAGGCTGGATGCTCCCTGTCTGACCTTGGCATCTCTTTTAGTGGCCTTGAGTATGGAACCACTGGAATCAGAACGTCGAAGCTGGGAGGTGCGAAGAGGTCATTGAGAATAAATTCCTTATTTTCACAAACGAGAAAGCCGAGGCCTAAAGAGGAAGTACGACTTTCGTATGGTCCCACAGCCTACTAAGGACAGGGCTGGAGTGGAACTTCGCAATATCCCACCCTTGGTCTTTTTATTGCACCACGCCTCCCCCTTACCCAGGCCTTGGGTGATCAGGGAGGTGGGGGAGATTTGGAGGTGCGCTGACTGTGGCAAAGGAAGAATGCCCAGGACTCTTGGAAAACAAACAGCAGATCAACCCCGAAGCTTCGCGAACACTCATTTGGAGAGCCTCCCAAGCATCAGGGGAGGTCTCCTCAGTTGGTATAGTGACAGTGTGGGACGTTTGTAACAACACTCCTTGGTGTGGCATGTTGGATTCACGGGGGCACATCTGGAGGCTACGTAGATGTAATGAATAAATTGGATAATCTGCCCTTTTGCCCTTCATTTTACTGATTATATCTGAAAAGTCACATGAGCTTGGAAAATAGCATGTTAC